TTCATCTAAGTAAGCTTTCTTTTGTGTTCTCCCATTAGTCTGATCTTCATTGTCTCCTTTATTGAACACTAAAACAAAGCATCCAAATAGTTTCCGATTTCTCCTTACTACTCTCAGAACTGACCTGGGAGAAATTAATCTAGTAGAACTGGCTGTCTAAATCAGACATTTTCTAAATTGGTTGTTAGAAATGATTTATTTCTTGGCTTTTTCAGTCTCTCTGTTTCCTTTATTCATAGGATCTCACAGGAGGAAGTGGATGGTCATCCAGCTTGAAATACTAACATGCTCATACACCATCAGGCTGTTGCTTCAGATCCTCCTGAGCATGTTGCTCAGAAGCGACCTTCAGAAAGAACGTGTGAGCAACAGAGGAGACTGCGCTGCATGAAGCTGTTCTCCAAGGACATTCTTCCACTTGTCCCTTCAACAAGATCTGAAGAAACATCTGGACAAGGATTCATCATGTGACTTTAAATATGCTGATATTTGACTTCAGTGACATGTTCTGATGCCCCTTCAAAATGAAGCACCTACCAAATGAGGATTTAATTTAGATTTATGAGTGTGTTTATTGTCTATTAATGAAGTACTACATAATAACTCAAACCACATTTATTGAGGCTGTTGTGATTATGTAACAGGGTATTATGTTTCTAATAATTAGCTGGCACCATTCAATTACATACGAATTAAAGCAGTTGCTGAGTTTACTGAGGAGCCAGGAGTTGTTCTTAGCATGATTTTGATGTTGTCAATCTCATGCTCAGGAGGTGAGGTTTATGCTAGGTGACAGCTGCCTGTACTTTTGCCTTATGTCTTCAAACTTGATATGCAAAGGTCAGCCTGAAAATGGGAGACCAAGAAATCTGGATATCAGGAATGCAGGAATAGGGAGGTGGGGAGACAGTTCCAGCTTAATGCAGCAGGAAATCAGGTGGTCCAGCATGAACCTTCTGAATTTAGTATCTATTTTCATGTAGAATTGCAGGTGGAAACCCTATTCCATGGCCTAGGAGAATCTCTTAACCACTTGGTCAGCATCCCTCCTGTGGTGTGGGAGTCTGTTTTTACAAAAGAAATCTAAACCTTTGAAAGATCTTTTCATCATAACGTAGAAAAGGAACATTTATGAAATCTCGGTTTCATGGAGTGGGAAAATTGTTTCCCTCTTTCCTCTAGAGCAGATTGATAAAAGGCTCATGATAGCAATTGAATGCTGGGGAAATTTTTGATCTGTGCAGCTGTACATAATCCTTATTATTTTTACAAGTCACTGGAGGCATTTAGTAGGGTCAACATTGTAAGAAATCTGGACGTGAAAGTGAAACAAAGTGTCTGTCAGAGGGGCCAGATTTTAATTGGAAACTAAATTTAATTTTAGAGAAAGAGGAAAATACCACACTTCTAATGAGATCCAGGGCACTTCAGAGAGCAGCCTGCAAAGAATATTTAAATAGAAAAGTCCTGTTCAGAAAGGCCTGTAGTGAATGACTTGGTGCTGTAGGTTGATAAGTACACATGAGTTCATGCCTTACAAATGAGAAACCATAAATGAAACATACTGATGACTTAAAGTAAGATCTTGAGTTTAATCCTAACTTTGACGAGGAAACACTCATTGTCACTTTGTTCTATTCTATAAGATGTTTGGAATGGTTTTCTTAATGTGAAAGTAGCAAACAGTGATTGGAAAATTTCACCTGAAAGAGATGCTTTTAACTAAAAAACAAATTAATGAGGTGGAGGAGAGGACTGTTTGGTTTTGGTTTGTTGGGTTTTTGGTTTTGGTTTTTTTTTGGAAGTCAGATTCTACATTTTGAAATTGTTAAGGATGTGCAAGACAGTACAAATGCTGGTATTTACAAGTAAGCTTTGAGAAGTGAGAGTGATGTTTTTCAGGTAGTCTGCTCAAATGAGGTAAAAACTTGAGCTCAGATTCTGACCCTTAGGTAGTCATTTGAGGAAGATGCAGTTTCTATGCTCCATGCATGGCCACAGCTGGGGGAAAGGAGGGAAGGATGGCAGTTTCCTATCTCTGCCTCTTCCAGCATCCACAGTCCTGAGAGTGGGGGGATGGGGGGAATGCAATGACTTTATGGGATCAAAGCCAGTCTTTATTCTCTCAGTGCCAATGAGAAGCAGAGAAAGGAAGTTTTCCTTTCCTATTTCACCAAGTGTACTTACACCCCTTAAGAAAGCTGAAAAATGTTTGGATGGAGGAAGAGGATAATATGATCTTTCCTCCATCTCTTCTCTTCTTAACCAGTGGTTTGAACCTGTTTTCTCAATGTAGCAGCATCTTGAGGTCCGACACCTTACTTTTTCTTGTGCTGCAACAGTGAGCTGAATAAATCAACCAGACCTGATGAAATCAAACATTTCAGGCCAGAGATCCACAGGAAATAAAAGTAATATCTGTCTGCATACCACACATCAGATCTCACTCAGATTTTTTTTTCTAGCTGGAGTGCCCTTATGTCTGATTTGGGTGGGTTATCTCTGTATGAAGGAGCATGGCACAACAAAAACCAATGAACTACCAGATTTGCAGTCACTTTTTTGCAGCTGAGCTGATTTTCTCCCTGCTGTAGAAAGAGAAGGAAATGATACGTGAAGAAACCTTTGCTGCCTTCCATCCATCTTGTATCAGTGGATAATGAAATTTTTCAACTGATTAGCTGCCCCATTGGTTGGAAAATTTGGAAGCAATCATGCAATTATATCACGAAACCTCAGTCATGTATATTCAGCCAAGTAGAGAAACCAAACTATTAGCAAAAATAGAGAAAGAGAAGAAACGGGAAAGAAAGAAAAAAAAAAAAAAAAAAGGAAAAAAAAAAAACCTATTTATACTGCAATACTGGTCCTAAAAAATGGAGGAAAAAAAAAAAAAAACACAATGGAAAAATTTCTGCAAACAATTAAAGAAGGGGGAGGAAGGCTCAGGATGGGGCTGGTGTTGCAGGATAAATATAGAATTTATAGCATAGTAAGAGCTGTTTTTGTTGGGTCTTAATTAAAACTACGCTGGTTGCTCCTATGCTGCTGAGCCTCAGTGCTACAGTCCGTGAGAAAAAGAGGGACAGGGTGATTTTCCTAGGAAGGGACTGATGCATCTCACTGAAGAAAACAATGATTGGCAATGCTCATCGTGAGCATTTCGGGCACTTCTGTAAACAGGAATATGTGCTTGTACTCTGCTCCACGCCACACTGTCTGCTCTTGACCGACCCTGTTCAGCCCAATCTGCTCCAGAAGTCATCAGATGCAGATGTACTTTTGCTAAATGAAGCCATTTTCCTGAACTAATACTTGTTCCTTTTTCTAACAGGAGGGTTTCTTGTATCTTTTTATGACAGGATAAGGAAACATTGCTTTTATGCACCCATACGCCATTCAGATAAAGACTCAGAAGCATGATGGTTTAATTGGTAGGAAGCTGGAACAATCTCATTGTGAAACCTGACCCCTCTGAAATTTCAGTGGCATCTTTTTGATCTTAGAGCTTAGGGCCTGAGCTTAGAGTTAGCAGCCTTTCTGCCAGCAGCCACCTCCCTCTCCAGCTGCCCACTCTCTTTCCAAGGTGCAACCAAAATGTGGCATCTCAAGGGACGAATACTTTGCTTGTGGAGGCTGACAGCTGCAGACAGTGGATGAGTTCAGCAAGATGATCATTGCAGGGTCAGCTACAATTGAAGAAAGGGTGGTTATCTATTCAGCGTGTTCTGTTTGTGAGAAGTGGAGAACCACATCTAATTCCCAGAATCCAGGACCTTGGCTATACCTACTGGACAGTGATAGAGCCACAACAGAGGCAGGTCTGATGTGGATCCAAGCCCACTTTTTCAGTATTATTTTCTCCCATTTTAAATGAATTTCAAATGAATTTTAAATCCAGTTCCACTGAAGAAAAGTAAGAAAAAATAGGCCAAGATGAGATGAGGTTTAAAGATGAGAGGAGTTATTGATACATTGCCAAAATATACGAATGGAGGAAAAAGAAAACAGCAAAAATCACTGAGGTGATCCAATACATAAACTGAGTTAGCCTTTTACTTAATTGTTTTACTTTATCCCCATCCTGGGTGTGACAATTGCTATCACTCTACAGAGGGACTCCGTCCCACCCTTCCTGTTGGGATTTGAAATGCTCCACTAGTTTTCACGTCTCAGTACCTTGCTATTAATGGAAGCAAAGTATCCCTTCCCCTTGGCATCACAGATGTGAAAATCACTAAAAACTAGAAGTGTCTTTATTGTTTTTATTTTTTTTTCCAAGACAATAAGAAAATATTTGGCAATTTCATGCTTGTTTGGTGCTGTGGTTTGATCTGGTTCCCCAGAAAAGTGGGGGCTGTTCTTTGGATTCTCTGAAGCCTCCCGGAGCGAGGGGAAATTGGTGGCTCTCTGGGAGCTTCCTGGAATGTAAAATGCCATTTAACTCTGGCTTTATGTCTTCAGATGCTTGGGATCTCTGGTGTCTCAAAGGCACAGGGAGTGCCAGGGTAGGATGGACAATTAGATGAGTTAAAAAGGGGAACTCATTAAGAACATTCTCAGAGCAGAAGCTGCAAAGGAACAGTTACATTCTTCGCCTTATTCTTTACATAAATTTTGAGAGCCAGTGGAAAACAGACTGTCACAGGGCTGGATTCAGGCCTGGTAGAGACATGGTTATGTTTTTGTTTTGCTTTCCACCAAACACTCAATACCCCCATTTTCTCTTCTATTGCAGGGAGAAAAAAAAACAAACAAACAACAACAAAAAAACACCACAAAAGGCTTCAACAAAGAGCTCTTCACCCACCAGTTCTCACTGCCCCACTGTGTCCTTTGCAAATCTTAGATGCCAGCAGGAGCAGAGCTTTTTCATGAGAATTGGATTGGAACTGGATGACTGTGGGACAAATCTGTCCCATGACATGGGGAAGAAAAAAAAAAAAGTGATCACTGATCTACTCATTATGGAAAAAAATGTGATTCTTACTTATGTGATTTCTTACTGGACAGTTGATTGGGATTTTGAATCCTATATCTTTCTCATGAAAGCACAGAAGGCACCCAGGTTTCATAGAATTATATATAAGTTCATCTTTTCATAAGAAAGTTTGTTTTCTGTTGTGTTAGTCTTCCCTTGTATTTCCTTGCTTTGTTCCCACTGAGACACGAAGAATCATCTTGAGTCAAATTCAATTCAGGGAACTTATGAAAATTAGTGAAGTACATCCTCTACTTGCATCAGGAACTAAGAATAACCCATTCTTAGCATTCTCTGTCTAGGAGAGTTTCACCCTTATTCAGAGAACCATGGGCCACGCTAGGAAAAAAAATGATAGCCTTGGTTATTGTCTTTTGCAAAATAGCAAGTACTCCTCTAGATTTAGTCTTTGTGCTTCTCATCAAGAAGAATCCTTTAATAGAAATGGTTCTTTAACTCCTAGAAGGTGCATAAAACAAAGGGCTGGAGGGACAGTGGTCTGAGTCCTCCATTGTAAGCAAGTGTTTATTACTTCACTCCTTTGTCTTCAGCTTCTTCTAAACTATAATTCTTATGACATCCAAAACCCAGACAGGCAAATGAAGAGCACTGGGAGAGAACTGGTAATCTTTATAGTTATATCTTACTAATCTCTCAGTAGTATAATTCTGTCTATATAATTTAAATGGCTGATTTGAGACACAGAAGCAGAAGGGCTCCTAAGGCTTTAAAAGTCCCTTAAGTTCACTTGAAGAAAAGGAATTTCCCAAGGGTAAATCATCCAGTGAGAAAATTTGTGTCCATTGTTAATTCTGTGAAGGTCTGCAGAGGTCTGATCTGAAATCAAGATTATTTCACATAAATCCATATCTGACAATAGAACAAATCAGCATGGGAACTTCAGACTGATATCAAGCAGGATGGGAGATAGTTCTGGAGGATGTTAAAAGTTTCTGAGGTTTTTTTTTTTGTTGATCAAAATAGTCACTTCTGCGATACGGAAACAGATCTGTTGGGGGAAAAGACTAGGCTGGAGAAAACAAACAAACAAACAAACAAACAAACAAACAAACAAAAAAAAAAACAAACCAGAAGCTCCACAGCAGCTTAAGCGAAAGCTTAAGTGCAAATAGACAAGTTTCCAAAAGCTCTGAAAGTGCTTTGGAGAGGTGAAGGGTAATCAGTCCATGGCTTTTGCAATGTCTTCATGGATGTCCAGCTTGGTCTGTACAGTCTTGCAACCTTTATTGGAGTAGATTCTTGCTTCTTTGGGGAAGTATGTCATTTCATCAGCCACTGCCTGAACAACCTTCTCATCGACTTCATGCCCATGGGCAATCATCTCAGCCTGCACACACATCTTCACGTGCTTGTGCTCCAGGGGGAGAAAGGGAATAAAGTAGTCAATGAGGTTCCTGTCCATGAGGCTGCTGTGCCACAGTCCACTTGTTCTTGTTACTGAAGACTCCCACAGACAGCATGGGCTCAAGGTCTTTCAGCTGAATATCTTCCCTATGCTTTCCAATGGTCCAGAAGTCGAGCGCTGCTTTATTAATTAAGTCACCACCAGCATTACTGAGGAAGATGAAGATGGCTTTCCTGTAGGACACCCCGTCAACCTGCTCATAGTAATGCAAGAAGGGCTTGATGGCATCAATGAGGCCCTGGTGCATTTTGTCCATGTACATTGTTCTTTCATATCCAAAACCTAGCCATGAAATGAATACAAACTCACAATTTTGCACAAGAAGCCTGTGCCACTAATCACTTGCAGCATAAACCTAAAAAGAAATGGTTCTGGAGGTGTCCAAACTCTGCTTTGTTATAAACTTCAGTGGTTGTTTCACTGGTTTACGTTGCTTCTCATGGGATAACTTCAGCATGACTTAAAAAAAAAAAAAAAAAAAAAAAAAAAAAAAACCTTCCTTTAACCTATACTATTTATTTTGGGAAAAAAAAAAAAAGATTACAAAACTGAACTGAACACAATCCCACCTTTAAGAATTAAATCCTTCAATTACCCATGTACAAATCCTCAGTAAAGATTTTGGCTTTGCTGCTCAAGCCTTTATAACTCACAGAGGAGAGCCCGCACATAAAAAGCCATGAAAATTAATGAATGTGGACTTGCAGCAGTGAGAAAGTTGGAATTCCTTCTCTTTGGGAACTTCCAGCGTGTCAAAACTTATTCTAAGCTGAAGTAAAACTTCCAATGTAATAAATTTGCACAAAAACTGAAATTTCTTACAATTCCTGCTTGGAATTGGCATTTTCATTGTTCTGAAATAGAAAGAAGAATGAATAATTACCTATATTGAAACATTCCCTTCTGTTTGCACGGTTTGCCATGCATGCTCTAGTTGCCTGAAATTCAGTTAATATTAATCTTCACTTTTTGTGATTCTCTCTATTCTGGCATCGCAATTAAGCAGACAGGACTCCCAGGTTTCCCTAATGCTTAAACTTTTCTGTCCCAATTCCATTTCTCATACAGCACTAGACTCACAAGGGTACCCAACACAGTATGTAATACAGGCCAAGCTGAATGCAATTTGTATCTCTGGAGCTGCAGCCCTCCAAAGGTCTATGGGTTTATAGAAGAGAACAGTTACAAATTCAAAGTCCTACAAGACAATGTAGAGACAAGGAAATTAATGTAGCAAATGAATTAAGACAAAAAATATTTTGTATTTAAAAAAAGAAAAGAAAATCAATTTTTTCTGAACATGGGTTGCATTTCACTCAGATTGCAGCATTTCCCTTTACATTATCACCAGTGTGATTTTGACAGTTGTTCACTTTTGGAAATCAGCTTGGTGGGAACTGCCATTCCTATTGGAAACCTGCACCACTGTAAATCTCCTGACCATCCCTGCTGTTGTCTACATCCTACCAGTCTGACAAGGACAAGCACAAAACCCAGCAATACTGGGGAAATAACAGACAAGGGAATCGCTATAGGCAAACTTCAAGAACAACAGTATTCAGGGCTGTTATTTTGTTTGAACACAGCTACAATGACTTCTCTTTCTCACTGTCTACCCATCAGCCTTGCACCTCTTTTACTGGTGAGTAACTGCTCTCCTGCACATTATCAGGAGGTGCATTGTCATAGGGGAGAACAGATATTGAAACCAAAGAGATTTCTGAGAAAGAAGAACTTAGTTTCCCAGTGTACAACTACAGTTGAAGTAGATACTAATTCCTATTTTACCCAGAATTTAAGCTTCTTGGGGCCAGATTCTCAGCTGGTAGAAAACAGAGTACCTCCTGCTGCTTGCAGCGTTTGAAATTAGGTATGTGTTCCCCCTCCCAAGACATTTGTTGCACTTGTTCCTGTTACGCGTTGTACCCCCAAAGGATCTGACGTTGTCTGAAAAGCCAGCCATAAGGCTTCCTGCCCTGAACCAGCCTGTGAATTCAAAAGCTCGGGAAGTAAATAAAACCAACTGTGCAAATGCATTTTGTCAGCTATGGGGAAGAAAAAAAGTTTTCACAGAGCACATTTCATTTTCCATTGGCGCTTCTGGCAACTTCTTTCTTCTACACATCATCATCATCGGAGAGACAAAACCCAGCCTCCCGTTGCGTATGCAAGAAGGAGAGACTTTCCCTGTGCTCCACTGCGAGCCATAAATTTCAGAAGAGCTCTGCTATAATCTTTTACAGTCTACAATCCCACCCTTCAGCTTAATGAAATGGAATGGTACAAATGCTCTCTGGACATTTCACTGCTGACAGTCACCCAAGGTTCGCTTCAGCTGTTACAATAAGGCTATTTTATTGTCTTTTCTTTATTTCTCTTGTACAATTTCATGACTAACTATGTGTAAAATGGAAGGAATTTGACTATCCTTTCTTCATGCAGTTGGACAGAAACTGGACTGGTTCCTTTAACTCACTTTTCAGCTGGCAGGAGCTTGCTTTCTGTTTTCTTTTAAATGTCAGAAAAGGTTAAATAGACTCTTCAAATGTGCAATAGATTTTGAAGACCTCTGGGGGTAAAACCTTCACAAGAGGAACAGTTTATATTAGTTCAAACAACGAACTTGGGTTCAAAACCTGGAAGGCAAAATAAAAATAAACCTACAATATGTCTTACATAAAAATAACAGGAGTTTTTTTGTTGTTTTTTTTTTAAACCTGATCTTTGAACATAAGGGAAGAGGGGTGTTTGATACTCTCTGGCTTTCTTGGTTTTTATACATTTAAAAAGTTTGGTTAATATTGCTGTCACAGTTTGAAAATACATGTAAGGCATGCAGTCACAGATTTAGATATTAGCAAGTGATTCCCAATATTTTCCTGTGTTTTCTTAATAACCCTGCTCTGCTGCAGGACTTTCAAAGGGACTGAGATCCTAGCTAGGCTGCCACATCTCTCCCTACTTGAAACAGAAAGCAAATGCAAACATTGGGTCTGAAAAGCCTAAAGGAAAGTTGGCGAGGGCTTTGGCTTTCACAGCTTGCTGAAAAATTCAGCATTCCTCATACAAGAAAATGAGCTACCATCTCAACTCAGGATTTGCTTGGCAGACACAATCTGTAATTTGGGAGAGGGCAGGAGAGGAGGCTGTAAAGAAGTGCTTGAATCCACAGAGCTGCCAATAGAATCATAGAATCATCAAGGTTGGAAAAGATTGCTAGGATCATCCAGTCCAACCACCCATTTACCACCAATGCTGCCCACTAACCATGTCCATCAGTGCCACATCTCCACATTTCATGGACAGATCCAGGGATGGTAACTCTAACTTCCCTGGACTGCCCATTCCAGTGCCCAACCATTCTTTCAGAAAAGTCTTTCCTCACATCCAACGTGAGCTGGATATTTTCTCAATTTGCTTTTGCTTTGGGTTCTGCAAGACGGGACCCTGTAAAGAGCTGCCTGAGTATATGTATATATTTTGAAGAGTGGCACTGTGACACATAACGAAGGGCTTGGCTTTCAAGCTCCAAATATAGTCCACACTAATCATATAAATACACAAATATCAAATGCTTGTTGATTCAAAAGTGGTCTGCCTTTTGTTACTGCTCGCTATATACGAGGGTCTTACAAATGCAAAGTGACCATGTTATTAAGCTTCTTCATATGCATCTTCTCTTTCCCACTGGCAACCCAGTTCAAAAGGAACCATGAGAGAGCAAGGGAGAGAGCAAGGGAGCAACCAAGCATGGAGAGATCATTTTACCACAGCACTAAGCCTTTCAGCCCTTCACCTCAGCACTGCTCCTGGAGCCAGGATCCTTCCCCAGCTCTCCTTTGCCTTAAGAAAAATGTGAAAAGTAGTTTAATTGGTCTCAAGCCTGTTATCACTTATGACAGCCATGATCAGAAACAGGGTCCATTAACAGCTGTAGCATTTAATGCATGCATTCACTTATGAGTAGAGGTTCCTGGACTGCATGATTAATGTCATCTCAACATAATAACAAAAAATATGAAGCACTTTGATTTTTTTTTCTCCTTTGTGACTGACAACATAAACACATTGTCAAAAGCACTGAACAGATGGTAAGGCACTTAGGGGAAGTCTGCTCCATTGGCCTTCAGTAAGCACTTAAACCACCACAGGTACTAACTGGAAGAAGGCTGCTCTTTGTTTCCACAGAGCACAATGGAGCAAAGCAGTCACACTTTGCACCTTCCATACAGCAGTAATTCTTGCATTCTCACAACAGATGGTAGTTCACAGAATCAAGTTGGAAAGAACCTTTAAAGGTCACCTAGGCCAACTTCCCTGCAATGAACAGAGACACCTACAGCTCAGTGAAGTGCTCGGAGCCCCTTCAGCCCAACCGTGTCTCCAAGGATGGGGCATCCACCCCTAGGTAACCTGTGCCAGTGCCTCACCACCCTTATTGTAAAAAAAAAAAAAAAAAAAAAAACACACACACACACACACACACACACAAACCCCCCCCCCCCCCCACACACACACACCACACACACCCCTCTTTCTTATATCCATTCTAAATCTCCCCTCTTTCAGTTTTAAACCATTTCCCCTTGTCCTGTCACAACAGATCCTGCTAAAGAGTCTGTCCCTTTCTTTCTTAGAGCCCTTCTTTAGTTGCACGGCAGCCTCTCCTCTGAAGCTGATGGTCTATCCATAGAGAATGGCACAAGAAGCAGAGACAAGTAGCTACCACAGCAGCAAGGGAAGAGCTCTGCTACATACAGGAGGGATTCTTGTAGCATCAGCATTTGTTCTTGGGTCACATACAGCTACCTTCCACATTTCTGAGCTGAGAACGGTGCTCTGCTTATGCCTCCTTTTGTCTACGCTGTAAGCTTTAAACGCTCACCTGCCACTCTCTGTGGGGCTGGCTGTCTTGACAATCAAAACACTCTTTCTCATCGTTTCCCAGAGGCCATTACTAGTTGTACTCTCCCGAATGTCTTGTTTCACTTTGGGGCCTTTCAACAGTTTGAATAATGAGTGTTGATCAACATCAACTTCACTCCCACAACATGAATGAATTATTTTAGCAGAGATCTCTTACCACTATGACAAATCTGCAGAGGCCTTTGTCTTCCCTTTCGCTACCAGAGGGAGTTTCAGATCTTCTTGTTATTAAATTCCTAAAGAACAGATTTTCTTGAGCTGATACGGATTGCATTATATCCAGGTCTAAAAATTGAAGAGGAATAAAATACCGCAAGAAATCTGGATTCTCCTTTTCCCCCCCCCCTCTTCTGTTT